AAAAGATGTTTTTACACTTTACTGACAACTGAGTCAGAAAAGGCTGCAGGTAAAGGAGACCACAACACAAATCGGTGGGGGGGGGTATTAAAATTAACCTTATTACCAAAGAGACAGGACAAAAGAAACCGACTGACCACTTTAAAAAACGGCAGAATCAACCACCACCAGCAGTCAACACAGAACCTCCATCGGTACTAACCCTCCGACAAAAGCAGTACTCAGTGCTGTAAAATTACTGAAAGTCATCCGGAAAGCACTGAAAACTTCATTATACAGCTATATTCTGACGCCACATTTTAAGTGATTTACGATGGAAAGGGTAAAATGAAGAAGCCCAACAGAGACGTCTTTTTAGTGAATGGACGGCTGACTAAAGAGTTCGAATTGAAGATAGGATTAAGTCAAGACTTCCTGCTATCACCAATGATGTTTCTGAGTGTAGTGGACTGAATAATGCACTAGGCTGTGAAAAGTGAAAATGGGGACAAACATTGGACTGACCGAAAGACTCTACAAAGTCTGCAGATAACGAATGCTTTATGTTTCATATCGCACAAACTTGGTCAATGTTTAGATCTCTTACCTTACTTAATAGAGAACCATGTTAAAAATCTGTAGGTTGTTAGTTTAAATCTCGTCGTGAAATAGGTTTAAATCTTGATAATTATCCAATCCCTTATTTTATATCCAGACATTTGATAACGGTATGGATTGATACATTGGAATTCTATTTACAAGTTAAAAACAACAAGCTGGCAGCAGAGTTAGCGAAGACTGGAGTTAACCTGGACGTAGAGAAGACAAAGGGGATGAAGACACTCAATCAAATTCAAATACAAATTAATTTCAATGGGAGGAATATGAAGGAAGTTATTTAAATGTCGAATGATAAAAATTCACATTTATGAAGTATCTAAATGAAGAATGCAATTATAAGTGCGACGAGTTGTTAGTCTATTTATTTTTGAATTTACCACAGTGTATTTATCACTTCTTGAATGACTAATATTTTTGTAATCATTTTGAATTTTACAGCAACTTTTAATATAGTTTCTTCACAATGTAGAAATAAGATAAATAGCATCATGATCATTTAACTATGAAACAAAAAAAATTCTCTTATCCACTAAGACTTTTAAACTTCCCGTCGTCTGATTTCAATGAACCTATGATATGGTCTCTGGTAGCGTATCGGCCCCTGGTGCAGATGCTGCGATTATGTCTTATGAACAAATGAATACCTGATTCGTAATAGTTAACGACCCACCTGTCCCAAATAGGACGAAAAGCTTATCATGGATTCCTCTACAGTCGGCCATCTATCAGATTACATCAAAGATTAATCTTTAATGCGGTAGACTGTGATCACTGTCTCACCTCGATCAGAATAGTTCCCGCTCTTGTACGTATATGTGTGTAAAATTGTTTGAAGTGAATGATATATTTCCTCAGCTGGAAAATCAAACTCTTGTTTTACTAAAATTATCCACATTTTTAAACCAGTGGATGACCCGTGTTTGATAAATATATGGAAATAAATATCAACAATGTTCTGAGCTTCACAGGATTACGTGTACTTAGACACGTTGACATAATTCAGCTTGTGTCTTACATATTGACGAAAAGCTATTTCGCAGTAGAATATTATTAACTGACTAGCAGCAAAAGGGTGGAAAGGTTGTGAAGATGAAACCTGAAAGGCCTATATTTTTAATTAAATCGATAAAATCAATGTTTGGCGGAAATTATTGTTCAAAAGCCTTTGTTTTAGTAGAATCTCCTCAAGCCATTTCCCCACTAATTGACATACTTTGTGTTGGACAGAGTGGAATACTTTTTCTGCGCACGTTTGATAGATTTTGCAAAGTTATCTAGTAGAATAAGGTGGAGTAAGCTGTTCATAGAGTTCACTACGAATGAATTATCTGTCTATGATTTTCGTCAATGTCTTCGTTGAATACAGTTCTATATTTTGATTTGTAAGGGTTAGTTATGTTTTTACGAGTTGATCAACTCGTAAAAAGAATACAGTTCCGTCAGCTAAATAAGTGATTCTATGGCGTCTGTTTCAGGAATTTTTTTGTTATTGGATGAAAGTGTTTAACAATACCAATTTCATTGTAAAGTTGCACTTTCCTGAAAATTGTGTATCAATATTAGTGGTTATTTTATGTTGTCTTCGCGATCACGGATTAGTCTTCATCTCCATTATCGAAGTGATTGTGATTGTATTTTTCTAAAAATCAATCAGCTGATTAATTAGTCATATGATCAACCGCATAGAATGGACATGGATTTAAAGTTCACTGTAGAGCGTGAAATAACCTTGATGTTTGCTCCACCTGTTAAAGTTCCAACGGTATTGATGTTTGGAATACATTTTGGTATAAGTATTCATTTATCTCCACTGTAAAACAACAAATCGTTCATTTTTTATTTAAAGAAGTGTAAGCATAAGCTGTAAAGATTAACTAGTAGAATACAATTCTAGTCTTAGAAGAATCTACTTTATAAAGCTTTAAGGTACATTTAATTTTCTAGGTTGAACGGTATCATCTGGTTGATTAGGCTGAAAGTAATTTATTATTATTCCATAGGTTTCTGAGTGGAAAATAGGGCTTTAACAGAGAATTTCGATTTCACTCAGTCCTCTGCAGTCTATTTTTAGATGGTTGCACGAATCCCCGCGGGGTTTCATTTCCTCTTCATACGATGTTTTCCATGTCATTCTCGAACGCACAACTTGTCGCTTCCGTTCGTGTTTCACTCAAGGTCTGAAGTGTGATGTTAGCGGGTTTAAAATTTGAAGTCAATTTTCTTAAGAAGACAGTTTATTAAGGTGATCAAGTTGCAGCCGCTTAAAGTTACTTTGAAAAGTCCGTTGAATTATGAAGATATTTTATGTTACTCTAGGCGCAAATTGAACGGATGCAGCCTTGTGGGAGCTTGCAGAGAGCTGCCATCCAAATTCACAGCAGTTAGTGATAATTCACCAGAAATGCCTAATGTCTGCTTATTTAACTTTATTATACATGCTCTATTGAGTGTAATTCTGCTTGACTATAATATTTCAAGAAATAAGTGGTTGATTAAAAATATACAGACAGAATCTTTTGAGTACTCTGAGATAAAATTCGAGTGTATCTATCATGTGATTCGTCCTTGCCAAGTGCAAGATAATACTGCAGGGCTAGCTTGCATGGATTCTTAATTTGATGATAAGTAAATAAGTGGTTGAGGTTTTTCACTAACCTTTCCGCTGACTAAATCTGAGTACGTCATTTTACATTTTCTGACTTGCATTATATTTGGAGAAGGTAGGACATCCGGATATCTAACGCAGGATGTGTGTAATGAGTCAATGTTGGCATTCTAAAGATATGAAATATGGTTATAGAAAGTAAATGATACGAAAGTCTGTTAAGTTTTAGACCAGTAGTGACGTTGTTCACTTGTAGTAGGTGTAGTGTTACGTAAGAAAATAAGGTCAAGGTCAAAATATATTTTGAAGGCTAATAAAACCCAATTATTTCTGCTGAAGAAGCTGTGGCTTACACATTGAAACGTTTAGATAAATCTTGTTTTGATTTTTTCTTAAACACGCTGAGATTATTTTAAATAATTTATAATCAATCAAGTGTTAGTTTGTAGAGATTTTATTGGTTACAGGATTTCATCATGAGCTGACATGAGTTAGAGAACCATTGGAAAACCTGGAGTACTGGACAGCTGTTTCGTCCTAGTTTGTAACTCTTCAGCAGCACGCACCCACTGGGGTTCCAGTGAGAAGTCGTGTCCAGTAGGGTGCAGGAGGTCGGGTGTGAGGACAAATACTCGACGAAGACATTGGCTGGGGTCGCGCTATGTCGTGAATTGGCAGAAGTTAGAATTCGTGGGCCAGTGGATCGGGTCCCAGTGGCTTAATGGTATACGGGCTCGCCTTGTAACCAGAAGGTTCCGTATCCCGGTGGGTGCGTACTGATGAAGAGTCCCATATTAGGTTTTCCAATGGTTCTCTAACTAATGTCAGCTCATGATGAAATCTTATAATGAATCAGTCTGACTGAGAGCCCAAATTATTCTCGGAAATTCGTAACATCTACGGTCTGAAAGCGTACAAGTGTCCATTATTTTCTTAGAAGGAGGTATATGCGTGAACTGCCACTAGGAAAAATGAACCCAATATTTCAGGGTAGTCTAAGATCAATGTATTCCACGGCTAATTTTGCTCCTGATATCCACATGCTTCAGAAATCTATGTTTTAAATATTTCGAGCATCTTTACTAACCTGCTGAGCTAAAAGATACAGTTTCCACTCTTTTTTTTTATTATGGCTTAGTTTTATTACAAGGAACACTTTTGTAAGTAGATATCACGCTTTTACTCTTCCTGCTTATAATAGTAAGGCCTTATTCATCTCTTTACAAACATAAACACCGACCACTTGGCTTATTATTTATGAAGAAAACACGAGCAAATCCATGCATTTTGTGCTAAAATTTTATGAAATAAACAAGATTACTTCAGTGACATAAACACACAATTGTTCTGTTTTACTTATAAATTAAATTATGTGGCTAGACACATATGCATATATATATATATCAATATATTTCACACAAGAGTATGATTTGATGAGTAGTATGTACGGACAGACCGTGAATGAAATCAAGTCTTATTATTGTTATAGTTGACCAATGGGAAGGCAACACCTAAGACTTTATAAATATATGTTGTTGAAATGAGTGGGATGAATATTCATTATTCAAGAACATATCTCAAGCACAAGAATAATCATATATACGAACATTTTTGGGTAACGCCTGATTTACGATTATTTCCCATAAACATGAGACATATAATAATGCAACATGTACACACAATAATTTAATTTAATTAGTGTGAATAACATTATTGCATCTTACAGTGTAGTATTCTATTCTGTCATCTACATATGATATCATTATCATCATCATATTCAACTAATCAATAGCTCATGCTTAATAAAGTAGCCACTCTCGGTTCAAACACACAAATTCCACGTGGAACTCTGCCAAGTAATGACAGGAATTCAGACAAAGTGAAAATGCCATTTTTTCGTAAATCTCGGTCAACTTCAAAATCACGTCAGAGTGCAACATCCTCAGCAATTTGGAGTAACAACAACAACACTGTTGTCAATAGTAGCACTTATACAAGTAACAATCCATCAGAACCAATAGAATTATCCTGGGAACAGGTGGTATCAAATGATGGCTTTGTAAAGCATTTTCTCAAAGTATTTTGTGAAAGAGTACGTAAAGGTGATCATTTTAAAACAATTCGAATTATTGGATCAACAACTGCTGGATTGTGTATTAAAGAGTTAGTTGAAACATATTATTCTAAGTATGGAACACGTAATGACTTTTATTTATGCGAAATAATCGGACGTATTCAGCCAATTTCCAATGTGAAATCCAGTACACCTGTATGGTCATTTAGCGAACAAAAGGTTCGTCGAATTGATGCTAATGAAAATATCATCTCATTATTGCAAAATACCAGTCCTGGATATGGATTATGCAGGCGGTTAGAGCTTAGACCTGTAGATGGTAGAATTAATACACCTATGAATGAAAGTAGGAATTTAACCTCTTCACAAGTTAGTCTACGTGATCCTGTTACTTCACCTCAGCTACCAATAACCTCACCACGGTCTGGTACACCTGTAAATGGGATTACTCTGTTCAAAGATTCACGTCGTGGTAATTTCTTTAGAGGTGTACAAATTCCACAAGGACCACATTTTCTTTTGTTACGTGGTAATCAACCAAATCGTGATATGCTATTACATGATCTTACTAAACTTATCATTGACAATACAATGCAATCTTTTATGACAGTTGGTTATGGTAAACACGCGGATATTCGACTTTATCCTATACCATCTGAAGTACGCTCCACTGAAGGAGGGTGCATCATTGCAAAAATTGTTGGATATAATATTACATTAAAGACATCTGAATCATCAGTAAAACGAGGACTGGTGTTTCTTGAACCCTGTGATTCAAATGATAATGATGATACTGCGGATAAAACACCAAATAATTCTCGCTCTAAGTATGATAATACCGAGATATACATTAATAATGATTTAATTAAACCAATGTACTCTGACACCTTTCAAAAGCGTGAACTTCGACCTGGTGACCTTATCTTTTTTGGATCACATAAGCGTGGGTACATTTATCTATTCAAAGATCCAAGATGTATACCAGATTACAAATTAGAATTGCCATTCACAACTAATCAAAATGTTTTTGATAGTGGTAATAATAAAACACATGGAAATGTGAAAATTCTTAATGCTTCAACTAGTACTGATGAGATTGTTACACGAGCAAGCACTGCTGTCATAGCTAATTCCAGTGATTCTACTGATGATGGTTGTAATGGTGCTGGTAATCCTGATATGAAGAAACAATATTCATCATCAGTTCAACAATTTAACAGCCCGTCATCGACATCTACACTTGAGGAAATGAAAGATGATGACATACGATCGATTCCAGGAATTAACGAATTAGAATGGATTATACAACCGTTACTTGTTCAACTGAGACTAACAGATGGGACCTCTGTATCATCCTCTTCAATTTCACTGTTGTCATCATCAAACTCACAGAAAATTGTAAATTTGGATACATTAGGTACCTGGGATGCTATGGAAACCACAATATTGGAACCATGGAGGTCAGCGTGTCTATTAAGTCTACTGATTAGAGCTATTGGATTAAATAAACTGCGCAGTAGCACCATTACCACTTCTAGTACTAACAGTGATAGTAAGATACAGAAGAATAATTCCATGGAAGATCTGATAAAACAAATTACATCAATACTATCTAATTATCAAAAGCGTGCAGAGTTGGTAAGTTGGAAAAATTCCCTCTTGTAAGATTTTATGTACAACTGATATATGCATATAAACATGTACGCCAAGCTACGTGATGACTACTATCAAAGTGTGCTACATTTTGATAGTGGTGGGATATTTTGCAGAACTGACGGACTTCATTTATTTACCTAGTATTGACGGTTAGGTCTTTAGATATGCTTCAAAATACTAAGCAGTGTCTTTAATTGCTCATGTAGACATTCTGGTGGAAACATTCACCCCACTCTCTTAATGTAACTCATTTTTGACAGATCTTTCTACTGACTCTTTCAGCAAAGTGTTCAGAGGAATTTGTGTAATATTTCTGCATAACATAGTTAAAAGTGTCTTACTATGATGACTGTAGGATATGTTGTATTGCTGATTTAGACTAACTTTCAAATTACTTTATCCAATTTTTCCAATTGATGTTTTTGTACTCCTTGGGTTATGAGCTGAACATAGGCCTTCTAATTTTTAAAGTTTCAGCAATGGTGTTATTGTTTACGGCCAACCCTCAATCTTCTCCAGCCTTACTACTAGTTAGTATACTAGTGGAGATTTAGGAGTGCGTCGGCCAGAAATCCAACTCGGACCTTCTGTGTGGCTGGCGAGCATTCTAACATTTAATCTCCGATGTAGTAAATCATTCTTACCAAGAATGATGACTAGAAGGTAATAATGATAAAACTCACTCTGAATTCATCTAATCGACGGATTCACATTTATATTTAGGCCTAAACAAGCAAAGTGACTAATTTTTGACAAATATTTTGCCTACATAGTCGTATCTATGGTTGATGGAAGTTGGTTGGCTGACTTCATTCAGCACCAACTAAAGTTGATTTAAATCTGAGGGAGAACATTCATTCTCGCACTGGTCACAGTGCGTGTTTAGCTAATGAATAACAACAGAAATGAAGGCTAAATCCAATACTGCTTCAAGATAATTGGCACAGAAACAATTTAAGTCAAACTGTTTCCTTTAAATGTATTGCTTTTACCGTGAATATATTTTCATGCATCCTACTATTCTAAATTTTCACTTCATTTTAAGCATAAAAAACGACGTGTTTAATACTTACATCGATTTTATTTGTTTTATTGATATATTCAGGATACCAATTATTAAACAGTAGTGCTACTTGAAGTAGATGAGGCAGAAAGACTTAACGTGTTAATACCGCGTTCTTAACTCCTTTACTTATGACATCTAAAATGTATGACTATGAATGGATTTTATTTCACTAAATTAGTATGCAACGTGATTTAATACCATCTTAGTATCTCAGCGTCTATAGCTGTGATATTATGATCTTATCAGTAACTGGTTATGATTTTCTAAAACAAAAAGATACATAATATCCACTGTGATAAATTACCAGAAAGCTTCTAAATTGCTGAAGATACAGACTATGTATTGAGTAGTATAAATAATATCGACCAAGTGTTTGTGTCTGTGGATTTTAAGAAAAAAATTATTTTGTTAAGAAGAAGCATTACAGTCGATAAATTTACTATAAAACATGTCCTTAGTGAAAAGATGAAAAACAAAAGTAATTTATGGTGTAAATTTGAAATATTGAAAGTACACCCATTCATATTTTTTCGTATAATGTTTATTCCCATATAGCCACTCACATTCAGTTTCTGTTAAGTTAACAGTTTGTTATCCAAAAGAGTTTCAAGACTTATCCCCTTTATGAAGCAAAAAAACGATTTGTGCCGAATACAGTAGCACTACCGTTCGTTCCATCGGCTTCTCATCATCTGAGCACAGCTTGCGATCGTACCATGATGCCAAATATCAGGAGACTCCTGGTAAGGAATAACTGAAATATTTAGGAATGGCATTCACTGATGACTGACATCAGAAAAGAGACTATTTTGAAGTGTCCACGGAATGCTCCTTATTGGATCATGACAGTTGGTGCTATATCTGACATATATAAGGCATTTACAGTCATTTGCTGCTCTTTACTTAAAATATCCTATGCCTTATACACAAAAGAAAGTCACTGCCATGCATCGCTGTGAACTAAATTTTTGTGATTCTTCGCCTCTTCACTATGGATATCAACATGATTTAGCCTCTTATTTAACAGTTAAATAAGTACACATAAGCATTATTATAAAAGGTTCTGTACTTGGTTTGGTTATATATGAAATACATATAGACGTTTTATGAGTGATGAATCATTCCTGTACACTGTACACTGTGTTTCCATTTCGTTTTTTCCTTTTTTGCGTGTGCACTAATGCTATCACTAGCACCTTAGTGTAGTTCCCATTTTAATTGATCATCTTCGAAATTGTTCGGTGTCAATACCATTATCCTCTTTTTCCTCGGTTTATGTCTAATTGCCTTCATGAGAAAGTCTGACTGCAGCTGTGATTATTATTACTATTATTATTATTACATCCTTTAATTCCTAGAGGAACATAGGGCTTCAGCTGCGCATCTCCATTGCCTTCTGTTTTATGTCAACTTTTTCACCCCACTCCAAGTCTGCCCACCCGCTTTCATCTCCTCTTCACATGACCTCCTCCAAATCACCCTCACACTGACGACCAACTCACCGCCCGCTTCCCTTTCGGGTTCCACTGGAGGGCTTGTCCAGTGATGTCAGTTGATGGTTAGCTTTCTCAGAGTATGGACAATCCACCTCCAGTTCTTCCTGCTTATTTCTTGCACAACCGGTTCATGCTGGGTTGGTTCACTCATTGCCAGAGATCTATGTTGCTGATCTTTTCTGGCTGGCCATCTGATCTTGAGTATTGAGCGAAGACAGCTGTTAGTGAAGGTCTGTAGTCTGTTTTAGGCGCTCTTTATGACGCGCAGTGCAAGTCTCTGATCCATATAGTAGCACTGACTGACTTTACATTGGAGTTGAAAATCCGGATGTTATTTTTGATGCTGAGCAGTGCTGTTGACCTCCACACAGACTTGAGAGTAACGAAAGCTTGTCTTGCTTTTCCGATTCTGGCTTTGATATCCGCATCAGTTCCGTCCGTCTGTAGTTGAAACGATGCTTCTCAGGTAGGTGGGTAGGTAAAGGAGGTTGCATCTTTCAGATTTCTCCCATTTATGCTGACTGTTGTCTGTTGTTGTTGCTGTTGTCCAGGAATCTTCATCACCTCTGTTTTATCTATGTTTACCTGAAGGCCTGTCTTCTCTGGATGCTTCTTCTGCCAACTTGTTGCTTTTCACTTGCATTTCTTCCAGTTTGTGGGAAATCAAACATATATCATCATGGGCGAAGTCCAGATCCTCCAAGTTATTTGTGAGGGTCCATTTTATGCCTGTCTCCTCGTTGCCCGCTCTCTGTCACATTATCCAGTTTACCGTAATCAGGAAAACCACTGGAGATAGTAGGCCACCAGCTTGTCTTACTTCTGTCTTCACTTCGAAGGTTTCCGTGAGTTTCCCGTTGTGGATTACTTGGCATGCAGCATTGTCGTATAACTGTTGGATGAGATGTATAATTGTCGATGGCACCCCGTAATAGTGAAGTAGTTGCCAAATGACCTCTCGATCAACGCTGTCGAAGGCCTTTTCAAAGTCGATGAAGTTAAGACAGAGAGGTGACTGCCATTCCAAGCTTTGTTCAATGATGATCCGTAGAGTGGCGATTTGATCAATACATGACTTGTTTCTCCTGAATCCAGCTTGTTCCGTTCGAAGTTTTTCATCCAACGGTTGTTTGATTCTCTCAGGATGATGCGGCTTAGTATTTTGCTTGGGATGGACAGGAGCATAATTCCGCACCAGTTTTTGCAGCTATGATACGATAAGATTTTTTCAGTCGTTTTACAGATGATATCGATTTGTGATAAATAAAGATGCAAGTCTATATGAAAAATATTCGTGAGATATGAAAAGAAGCATAAAATGAGTGCAATAACTTTCCACGGAATAGGAAAATGACAAAAAAACCTTCTGAAGTTACGCAGTTACTTGTCTTAAGAAGTAATAAAATGAAATTTTTCGCTTAGTGTCACAATAAGTCTGACCTTGTGTTTTGAGTAGCGACTTAACTTTCCACTCGGTATGATACTTCAAAAATGAATTAAACTTTGTAACTGTTATTTCGTAACCTGACATCGTCAGAGTGATATTTAAATAAAACACTGGAAAAAGTGGTGGGTCTAAAATCTTTAAGTTATCTCAGTCAATAAGAATGCACAAATGTTTTTGCTTGTCTACGAAAATTCTGTATCTAATCTCAACACTGCTAGTTCTACTATTCCAACCGCGTACTTGGTATGCTACCAGGACGCGGTTGACGATGTAAAGAATGTTGCTAGGTTGTTTACTGCAATACATACATCCAAATTCTTGTTTGCTTATTCATATTCGTATGCATTTGAATTACTTAGCCACACGCTTTACACGGTCACTTCACGTACATCTGTAGTTTGAAACGTGTTTGAAATGAACCACTATTTATGTATTTGGGTAACTGGATAGTTGACAGATTTGCTTTATTGTAATTACCATTGCAGATCTGTAGATCGATTGTTGCGAAGTGTGGTACACTGCTATTTGGTGCTATGAGTTAATCATCATTCATCCACGACAATTAAGACTAGAGAGCTATACTGCTTTTTCGTCTCTACCAATTCCCATTAATAATCTACTACTATAATGGATAAATCGTAGCCTAAGCAGCCTGCTAACAGATTTTTAACTTTGGAAAATTGTGATAGATGTTTAAATTCTGTAAATGTTACACATACAACTTAAGGATGAGTATCAAGTGGAATAAGACATAAATCTATGACCACTTCTAGTTTGGCATGCGATTCGCTCCCGCCAAATGCAAGATGATGTTACAGGACTGGACTACATCGACGCCTAGTTTAAAAATAGGAAGTGAAGTGGTAGAGCACGTTGATCGCTTCACTTATTTGGGAAGTACCATCAGCCCCAACGGGCTGATCTCTGACGAAATCTCAGCACGAATACAAGGGGCTCGTTTCGCATTTGCCAG